TAAAGTAACTCTAAGTAGCAGTGTGTTACAACTCTGTTCCTAGTTTTTGCATAGTTCCAGGATGGGAGGGGGCGGCGAAGATTCGTCCCCCTGCCTCTTAACTTCCGCTGCCCCACTTATCCCCTAACCCGTCGCTTCCCCCAGTCTCTCCCCTCCTCCAAGAGTCCGCCCTGGACCAGCCTATGGGAATACAGGTATGCGCCAAGACCACGCATTCCACGGGACCAGTCTCTGGAAGTTCGTCAGCGGCTGAGTACCGAACCAACCGTGCAAAACGGGATGACATTAGAACAAGAAATGAAATTTGAATTAGAAAAACAGGCAATTTAAAAGAACCACAAGAAAAGATCAACTACCAAAACAGAGCTGTTTCGGTACTATGTCTCAATTTCAGTATTTTTAAGCAGTACACCGAAACTGCTTTAAATGCTTCAAATTCGGCAGGGGAACTCGACACGGCACTGGATCCCAGTAAAAAACTGCTCAATTCACCGTGACTTACTGAGGCGCCTACAGATACACACACACGCCCACAGACAGACACGCACACACACACCCCAACCAATAGACACACATAACACAAAAATACATATCAAATCGAGCCGAATTTGGTTACCAACTTCGAAATGACACTCTAAACAGCAAGTACCTGTTATCCCGTAGCCACATCAAAGAAGCAGCTACGCGCGAACAATCGCCCTCCGACTGCTGCAACAAATACTGGCCCCAGTGGCGATGCCCACAACTTCTGCACTGCTAACCACAGCACCGCGGTGGTACAAAAACAGAAATACATACACACACACCGCACGGACATGCGCACACTCAAATACATGCATTTACAACCACACACACAAACCACAGGCGCATTCGCGGGGACGGGGATCGAAAGACCCAAATGCACAGGTGGCAGTGCTACAGAAGTCCGGGTTTAAAGCTAAAACTGAAGGAAACTCTCTTCCGAACCCCCGCCGTCGCACCAATAAAACCAATTCCCGCCCTCTTTCCCCCGCTCCCCTGAATCGTCGGCAAGTCACGCACTCTTCCTCTTCCCCTAGCCGTCGTTGATAGAAGTTCCATTCCTTCCCTCTACTCGAGGCCCCTTCCCAGGAAGCCGTCCTGGGTCCGCCCATGACACAAACATATACCCACATGATACCAAACACCACGTAAACCCACGCACATACATCCATCCAGGATTTCCCGGGAGGTTAACGAGACATCCCGGCGATACTGGCATTAACTCAGCCACAATAAGCTGCCGCTGTCCCCTCCGGACCCATTCCGCCACCCCCATCGATGCCTGGCACGAAGCGCATCGACGGCCTACAGCTCTTCCGCACCGTCGCTCAACATCGTACATGATAC